CAAGTGCAATCAAAGTTACAAAAATCAATATCTCTATTGCTAACATGTGCAGCATTCATATTTAGTGAGTGATGTCTTTTCTCCCTTAAGAATAAAAATCGATGAAAGTACAAAATGCTAAATATGTTATACTTGTTACAACAAGCTGTGCAGTTTAAAGTATCAAACATGGTAAATTTTTAAAAGGTGTCATATACTGTAGGATAACATAAATATGCTGTTTAAAGTAACATACATTGAAATTGGGTAACATTTCTATCATTTACCTTTTGCTTTTCAGCAGCATGTATAGCATCACTAATAAAAATGCACTCTTATCTATGGCCCCTTTTATATTATTTAACTAAATATGAATATAAGTTACTCTCATTAGGTAAAATATTTAACATTCAGTACACATAATATAGTCTTTTGCATTTCTACTTAACTATAGTGTGTCTACCTTAATTTCAGTGGGTTTGCACAAAGTGTCTAAAGAAAGAGGCAACTTCTGCAGTTTTTATTCACATGTGTACCCCTATGGTAAGCCTTGGAAGGAACATATGTATTGAACTACAGTTTATATAGCATCAGTGAAAGACACTTGAAAAAGATAGAAATTCTACATCTTTAACAAAAATACATAAAATAGGAAAATCATTTTTACAGGTTTTTGCTTAATCTGCATCTTTGCTGATTGTGGGTGCTGATTACAAACTCTGGGCCTGATTCTGCTCTCCTTTAAACCAGTTGTACGCTGATGTAAGTGCAGTGGAGTTCCTTCTACTTAGGGTTAAGTATGTGTGGAAAGATGCTCCCAAAGTCCCACATGGCATCCATCTATTTCTTTCCATTAAACGATCAGAAGACTAACTGATAGGTTTGATGATAAAGTTCTTTATTCGGACTCTCGTCTAGCTGTTAATTTAGTGTAGTGCACTGCACTCTCAAATACTATTATCACTGCAATTTTTTGTTGCGATATATAATTAATTATATATATATATATACACATCCAGCTCTCATTGACATGACATGATAACTAAAGAAACTAAATCCCATGGAGAAATCTCCTTCAGTCCAAAGACACTAAAGGTGGCGCTGAGCTAAGACATTCCTCTACAGAATTCAGTTTAGTTAATTTTTAGTCACAGTTCCATTGCTTTGTTAAAGTGAAGTCTGCCTAATGTCGCTCCTACCACTGGCAATTAATGCATGTTTCTTGTTGTAATAAGTCTCTTTGGACATTTTGTCTAGTTATCTATTGAACGATGCATAGTAATGGTCTCTACTTTACCTAAAATTACCTACCTATCGAAATTGTGCACAAAGGCTCCAATCCTGCAAAGATTTATGGATGTGCTTAACTTTGTGCACTGTGAATAGTCCCAATGGGTAAAGTTAATCATGTGTATTAAGCACTCATCTCTGCAGGATTGGGGCCTTAGGATCTGACTCAAAGTTAAGTCAATAGAAAGGTTCATAGTAAATTAACTGTTAAAAAAAAAAAAGCTGAGACATAGCATCCTATTTGCATATTAGTGTCCAGCATTTCATTCAATCAAACTTCAGAGGGAAAAATGCACTTCAGTGCCACTATAATCATTATATACAATGATGGGCCTCTCGGGGCGATTAAGCAGTGATTCAAGAGGATATGGTCATCCTGTCACCAAACCCTTTAGTATCACTAACAAAGCTTTGTAATAAGTATCTTTCAACATTACAGGAGAGGGAAATAAAACACCTGGTGAATGTTAGGTACCCAGTGTTCTACAGGCAGGTGATGTTTGAAATCATGATCCGATCCATTGTTTGTTGTATCCAGAAGCTGATTATGCAGGTATGTAAGGGCTTAATGTGGCAAAGGGAGGCAGTGGAAACAATTAACTTTTGCTGTGTATTAAAGGTGGAGTGGGGAGCAAACCAAGCAGCCACCTGCACAGGACAACTCCACACAACCTCTGTTCTAGAGACATCACAAGGTATGGACTTCAAAGGGAACTACAAATAAGGAAAAAGTGGGCACGTCACATACCCCTCCCACACCCCAAAGTGAGCATGACTGGTAAGTCAGTGTACAATAATTTTTTTGGAGATATCCTATCTCCTAGAACTGGAAGGGACCTTGAAAGGTCATCGAGTCCAGCCCCCTGCCTTCACTAGCAGGACCAAGTACTGATTTTGCCCCAGATCCCTAAGTGGCCCCCTCAAGCATTGAACTCACAACCCCAGGTTTAGCAGGCCAATGGTCACACCACTGAGCTATCCTCCCTAAAGTATCTACATGGTCAAAGGTATGTGGAATGGAACCAGAAGAATGGTGCTTTGGCCTCCTTTTCCTTCCCAAATCTATCCATACCTAGCAGTGGGCTTACTACAAGTTTGCCTTGGCACTGCAAGACATGCAGAGCATTTTCATGTGAGCAAAGCCATTTTACTTGGACTTAGTCTACTTTTACAGGATCAGGTTGGTACTGTTTTATTTTACAGTGCTGTGAATGATTTTATGATTGGATACATATCTTTGGAGAAAAAGCAGATGCAAGTGCTTTTCCATTTGTGGAAACCACTTCTCTTCTTGAGAGTCTATATGTCTTGTAAAGGATTGCACTTTTACATTTTAAATGCTTTTGCTGAGGTAGAAATGGGTTCAGTGATTTAAAATAAGAAGCATGATTTCTTTGTAATTTTTGCAAATTAGAGACAATAAGAAAGCTGTGTGGATGTTTTTCTCTTTACTTTGTATTTACATAATTGTCACCATTTGATGCTTTCTGGGTTTTAGGAAGACCAGTGTACAACATTCTAATGTGATGCTAAAGTTACATGTATAATACTAATTGTTTTAATTGTCTACTTAAAGTGTCCCTAAGTACATAATTAGAGCAGCAGTGAGCTGTTCACCACAGAATTTTAATACTGGCAAACAATTTCTTCCAAGTTTGTAAGTTCATTGCTGTTCACCTGTTAAGCTTGTAATGAAGATTTTTTAATTTTTTTTAAAAGAACCAAACATACACACACATACACTGTTGTTTACCTGTCACACATTGTAAAACAAGTTTAAAACAAGCTCCCAAACAACAGACTACAGCATTGCTGGGAAAATCAATCTATGCTAAGAATTGAAGCTAAAACAATAAGGTAAATCATAAGAACTAGTCACCGCACCATTGTTTTATTCAGGGGTGTGTATAAACCAGAGAAAGGTTACACACTGAGGCTTGAAAAGAAAGGGATGTTACCCCAAAAGGGCACTGTTAAGACATTAGGGATGAAGAAAAGGGTGTGAATTGTGAATACAAGTACTTTTAGAAATAAAAAAGATGCTCCTGCAAGTGACATCTACTCACCCAAATAGTCCCACAGGTAAAGAATGTTCATATGAACCAGGCTTGAAGGATGCACCTCAAGCTTTGTGTTTTATCTTGAGTATTGGAGAGACTGCAAGGTAAATGAAGGGGGCGGGGGGTGGAATGGAAGGAATGAAGGTTAAGATCAGGAGCAGTGAGGTGTGGTTGGAGCACAGGTTGGGAGTTATTTGTCATCACGCTTTTGATGCTTTCATCTTAACTTTGTAACTTGCTGGGCTCAACCATAGTGCTTACCATGAGTACCAAAAAGACTGGGAGAGGCACAATCCGTTTCCAGGTCTCCCTGTTGCGTTGAGGGGAAAGGACCTATACTGAGCCTATATCTGACCTGGCATATGTCACTCAATATGCTGGTGCAGATATGCTGGCCCACTTGTTGTGGTGGATGGAACAAAGGCTCCATCTAGTTTCTACCCTGACACAAGGGAGCAAACAGGGACCTTACACCCCTTTAGTCCCTTGAGTTGCTGTGCAAGCCAGGTGATGATATCTCAGTTTGCCATCTGTAAAGACACAATTTCCCTAGCCTCCTCTGAATTGGTTGTGGAGATTAATTAGGTAACATTTGTAAAGTCCTTTCAAGATGTGTGTGTGATTATTGGGTACTTATTTTTCCTGAAGAATTGACATTTATGCTATTTATATTTGGGGATGGGGAGAAAACTAAGATTTAATTAAAAGAGGAGATAAGGTTTAAAAGCAAATTAAAATTTTATCATTAACATTTATGTTTGCACCTTGTTATATCTGACACCAGTCAGGGAGAAAATGGCATCTGTCAAACTAAAATGAAATGAAAATCTCAGTTTAACAGCTGTAGTGTGGGCCTTTCTATAAACCATGTATTGGATAGGGATTGTGTACTTCATACAACATTCAAAACTAGCTGCCAGAATTCTTGAAATCCATGCAACCTTAACTCAACAGAAACAAAAATGTTCAAATCAAATACTGGTTGGTTTTGTAAAGATGTTATTGAGGATATTGACTATAATATGTGAGCATGCTGTTAAGCCAGTTGTTCTCAAACTGGGGCTGCCGCTTGTGTAGGGAAAGCCCCTGGCGGGCCAGGCTGGTTTTCCTACCTGCCGGGTCCGCAGGTTCGGCCGATTGAGGCTCCCACTGGCCGTGGTTCGCCGCTCCAGGCCAATGGGGGCTGCGGGAAGCGGCACGGAACAAGGGATTTGCTGGCTGCCGCTTCCCGCAGCCCCCTTTGGCCTGGAGAAGTGAACCACGGCCAGTGGGAGCCGCAATTGGCTGAACCTGCAGACCCGGCAGGTAAACAAACCGGCCCGGCCCGCCAGGGGCTTTCCCTACCCAAGCGGCGGTCCCAGTTT